TTCGTCACCTGCAAGGCGTTCGGAGCGGACGACTCGGTTCAGGGGCTTTGGAGGAGCGTTTGGTTCAGGGGCTGGTCATCATGTCATGGTGGGCTTCCAGGCTTGGGGTTCAAAACTGTTTTTTGTGATGTTGTTTTTCATCCGCTTATTTAGTTTATTTTTTGGGGGATCCACGTGCAGTTCTTGGGCGGTTTCAGAACTGAGGACATTTTCACCCGGTCTTTCTATTCTCTTAGCAGGTTAGGAGTTGAAAAAGTCTGAACAAAACACACACAAAGACTCTACCAGTGCTGATGGTTCTTTTTGCGACTCGACCGACACATCACCCCTCGACCGACTCGAACGACTCGGGAACGGCTGGCTGGGTATCCATAGGCGTCCTCCATCTTCGACGAGAAGGCGGGCATCTCTTTGAATGAGACTTGAATGCAGAGAGGTTAACCGTGGTTATCATCGCTTTCTGGCTGCCACTGTTTCTGGATTCCCAGGTCTTTGGGCATAGAGGTCTGAGGCACTTAGCAGTCGGCTCTAAGAGACCACCAAATCAGACCTCTAACAGGGCTGACCACAAGCCTCTTTATGAGAGAGCTGTAGAGTCGTGTGCTGGTATTTACAGGTGTAATCAAATGATATAGTATATAGGTGTAATCACAATATAGAATCACTATTATAGGTGCTGGTATGAAATATTGGCGCTATTCCATACTATGCAGATGACCAACAGATGAGCCACACAGTTTCGGAGGGTCGAGGTGCAGTTCCCGCGGCATGGGAGCTGGCAGCTGGTTCGTTATTTTTTTGGGATGCATTTTATGAAGAATTCCCAACCAAGCATCACAAAGCAGGGGAAGACTGGTCTTTGTCCGGTCCTTTTGGTCCGGGCACACCAAATCACTGGGGCATTCCTCGCGTTCCTTGGGTTCCGAGCGGAACTCGCTCCGTTTTCCGCGTACGAGCGGAAAACGAGGACAACTTCGTGAAGTTGGTCAGCTGGTACGACAACGAGTGGGGCCTGGATGCTCAGACCGAGTCCTGGACGCTCTAGCAGCAGCTAGCAGCGACGTAGCCCGCATGTGCTGAGACCGCCCTCTCAGCAGCGACAGCAGCGAGACGTCAGGCTGACACTGGGGCCCAAGACCAGCAGTGCGGTCACCCGGATCCATCCGGACCCACAAATGAAAGTCCCATGGATCTAGGTATATCATGGTACCCAGACGCTCCAAACAGCCCTTGGTCCCTCAAAACCTAGGGATTCGAGACCCCAGACCCCTCCATATGAGGGTCCGACCCCTCCATATGAGGGCCCATGAGCGTCTGGGTATATCCATAGATATCCATAGGTCCGCTGGACCCCAGCGAACCCCGCGAACCGGCTGTTTGTGGACCCAGCGAGGTGGGTTCGCCGGGAGCTGGGTTCGACCAGACCGGGTCGGCTTCATCCCCCGACTCAGTGCGACGCTGAAGAACGACCCTTGGTTCGTCATGGGATGATGCCACCAGACCTGCTCCAACTAGCGGGGCATCCGAACCGAGCTGAAGCCAAACGCCGTGTGTGGGCACACCGCGTGAGCCCGCAGTGCGCACTTCGGTGGCGCTGCTGGAGCTCGAGTCACGAGAGGTCAAATGACATAGCAACAGAGGTAGCCAGTGACCTGAACTAGGACCCGTCACCTGGGCTACCTATAGGATAGTGTATAGGGTCCTTCAACCTCTGTTGGTAGAACCAAGAATATAAAACATCCTGAACTGGACGATGCAGATTGACCTTGGCTTCCGGGACGAGCCCGGACTGTCGTTTCGGTGTCCCCCAAACCGTGGGGGAGGACGGGCGACACCGGGCGACGCGACGGCCGTCCGACGTTGGGAGGTTATTCCAACCGACTGGTCGAGCTGGCCATTCACATGAAGAAGGTGGACGGTTGAGGTGCTTCGTGTCTTTGCGCGCGATGGGTGCGGAGCAACTGCGGAGTCTGAGTTGGTGGAGGAATGTGGGGAGCGCGGGCCTTGGGTAAAGGCATCTAAATGCATCTCAATACACTTATAGCGGGTGGTGTCCTATTTTCAGCAATGATTGAACGTATCCCGACGTATCCCTTAACTGTGCTGTTTTTGGATATGCAGATTTGAGCCATTGTCGCTGTTTTCCGGGGTCGACCTAGTTTTCACACACTCGACGGTCTTTTTTACGATTGTAACGCTCGTCGTCGTTTATCAAAGGCAACGGAGGGTCAGGGTTTGATCGATTCAAAGTCCTCCGTGTCAGTGCTATTTGGGGTCCCAATGGATTCGTAGTCGATTTGAATGTGTTTGAGCATGCTGAAAGATGTGGACGGTCCAACCCTGCGAATGCCATTTTGCTTTGGATGGACCGCCCCGAAAACGAGACCGAAGACAGCTTGTTGGGCCGAAGTGAACACGAGACCGAAGAGTCCAATGGTTTGGAGCAAGTCAACTCATTTTGTCACAGACTATGACATATCATGAAATTATCGATAGCCTATATATTGAAGGGGGAGAAAGCAATGTTGAAGAAAGATGCAGAAGCTAGCATCTCAATGACTCGGCCGAGCAGTGCCAGGTTAAAAGCTGAGAAAGCCCAGAAGTCAATCGGCAAAAAGACCGTAAGCCCTTCCAAATGTGGCTTCCAGTGTGGGGCTTATAGCAGCACAAAACATATTCACGAAGCAAGCAGAGGTTCTTTGGATTATAGATTCGCCCCACGCTGCTGTTACTCGGAGGTTCAAGATTCAATACCCTTCGCTCGCGTTTGGTGATGCCTTGGGGCTTTCCTTGCTCAGCTTCATGTGCTTGGTAGGGTCTTGCAGAGAACTAACAGGAGTTGCAAGTCTTCGACACGTAAGAAACTCAGTGAAATGTTTGGTCTTGTCTGAAAAGCACCATGGCTTCTAAATGCGAGTTTGTCAGAGCACTGGAGTATGAAGACAGAAAAAAGCCACTGACTGTGCAGATATTGGAGAGATGGTGAGATGGTTCTTCGCTGTGCAAGAAAGATGCTGTTGATAGGCCCTCTAAGTTACTTAAGAAAACTTGGCATCAAACTGTCGGCATTTCAATTCGGCATGTTCCCAGTTAGTGTGATAGCACCGGCACCCCCTGCTTGCATCGCATGTTCAATCCTCCGCTGTTCTTGCTGGGCATGTTCAGATGCTTCGCTGCGCCGTCCATGACCGTAGTGCTCAAAAGGGCCTTCACAGATTTTTTGCCTTTCCGTCTTAGACCCGACCCGATTCGCAACGATGCCAGTGGGTCACTTGGCTTTGTCCGAAACCCCATGGAATCCATGGCATCCGTCGGAGCTCATTTCACTCGGATCGACGGTCAGGTTGGGAAACGGAGAGGTTGGGCCAGCGAACCACGACCAATCCTTACAGTGGTTGTAGAATGCTGTAGATCAGAGGTTGTAGACCTTGGGACCTTCATTCCCCAAGGTGGTGGAACATGGCTGTAGATTCTGACCTCAAACCCTTGCTGGGATCATGTGAGTCATATCGAGTCATGTTCCTTTTTGCTTTCCACCCTTGACAAAACTGACCTTCCGCGTGGGGCGGAGCTTCCCAGCCAGGTGGTTGTTGGACACCCCGAATCACCTCAGCCAGAGACTATTTATAGAATTTGATAGACACCTCTTGGTGGAAGGTCCTGGTGGTAGGGGTTTGAGTCAAGCACGAAGACACAGCCTGTGGTTGCAAAACCAGGAGAAAATGCCACCTCCCTTGGGCCACAGAAGCCAACGTGTTAGGAACAAGAAGCTACGAAACGGGGCGTATCCAGATGATCTTCCCTCAAAAGCCCCTGCCGTCTCCTGAGGCGCTCCCGGTCCAAAAAAGCCTCCCGAAGCTTCAGATTGGCTCAAGAGGAGGGAAGTCAACCCCCATCTGCGGCCGAGAAGACCGGACCGGCGAAAGCCCCACCTCCAAGCGGTGGATCCTGCCCCGCACCTCCAGTGCCCCTTCGTTGCGGGGCTCCCCCCCCGACCGACGCCGAGGTATGGGCATCAACGGCTTCGGCCGCATCGGACGCTTAGTGTTCCGCGCCGCCTCCGGAAACCCGGACGCCGAGGCGCGGCGTCGCGTCCCACCGCCGTCGCTGTGGCGCATGCGGGGTTGACGCGCCGAACGAGTCGGACGTGAACTGAAGCGAGGGCCGACGTCGTGGCCCAGCATGGGTTGAAGAGCCGCTGGTTCTTTTTTTCCACTACCTGGCATGGGTTTTTACATGTTTTTACCGAGCTCGGCACTAGCAGAACCAGAACCAGATCAACCATCTTAAAACGATAGAATGGGCATGAATGGGTCGTTTTCCGGACTTCCAGGGTGGGTGCGCTCGGATCAGTCGGAGCCCGCAATTCGACTCGAAGAGGTGGGGGTGTTGGGTGTGCAACGCGTCTGAACGGTGACCTGGCGTCGGATGGCTGGTATGTAAAAACAGGCAGTGCTGTGGAGAAGCGAACTGACTTGGCCACAGTTTTTCCAACAGGTGAGTCAGATGATCTCCTAGATGGGGTTTGGCGGTTTGGCATAGGATCATCGATTCAATGATTCAATGAGGTAGAGTCTGAAGGTTTAGACCGATTTGCGATGTCCTTCCATCCAAAATCCGATTCATTGCCGGAATGTCGCGCTAGTTTCCCGTCATTTCTGCAGTGTGTGTATGTTGATGCGCAGTGCGCATTGCCACTCAAGCCGTCCGGGAATCTCGATTTGCCAGTCACATTGAACAGATTTCATGGCTTGCCAAAAGGCACATTGTCTACAGGTCTTGCGGACCTCATGTCATGGGTTTCCGGTAAGATGCAAATCCACGACTTAATGAGATCGGACAGGTTTTACTGGACCTGGACTGGGCTACAAGTACCCCAAGCCTCCGCCTTGGAGTGACCATACGTCGCCTATCCTCGACTTCGGCAGAGCTCGGCCCTGGCCCTGGCACGTCACCTGCTCTCCTTCTAAAAAGCTGCTCACTCCGTGGCTTTCCGTGAGGTGAAGGCCATCAACGACCCCTTCATGGCCAGGGCCATAGCGATGGTGGATCGAACGTTGAACCGGTGCTCGGGCGCTTCCGCGCTCGGGCGCCCTCCCGGCGGCAACAGGAGTCGGTTGGAGAGATGGTTCGGATCGTCTTCTTCGATTCTTCTTCTTCTTCTTCTTCTTCTCCATGGTGGCTGTGTGTCATGTGGTCGCTTCGAACGAATCAGGATCTCGATTACATGGTCTACCAGCTGAAGTATGATAGCGTGCACAAGACCTTCGGAGGCTCAGATTTGGGGGGATGAAGCATCATTTTGCTGTCTTCGCCATATAGAGCTATTTTATGCTAGACTTTCCTGGAATCGTAGTGCCCAAGCAATTGGTTCAGCTCTTCAGTTCTTGGTGTCTGTTTCGTCGTGCAAAAAAGCGCTGGGTATAGATGGCACCCTGCCCTGCGACCGTAAATGTCAGCCAGGCACCATTGCAGCCAGGAAAGATGGTGGAAAGGAGTTCCTAGCACCTTGGCGTTACAGGGCTTCATCTGAGTCCACACACAGAACATCACAGAACTGGTAGCCTTGTGTCAGCTTAGAGAGGTTGTTTTGGAGAGGATCTTTGCTTCAAGAGGTTTTTCATCCCTTCATGCCAAATTGAAGAGAAAAGAGCTTCAGCAATGTCAAGAGGGTTTGTAACAGGTCAATCCTTGTAGACCCCTGAAAGCCAAGACCAAACAAAAGCCACCAGGAGTCAAAAAGGCGTGGTATTTAGTCCCTACGTAAGTGGATAATGGGGTGCCTATCCTCCAATAGGCACCCCTTTGCAACTGCTGGCAGATGTATTTTGTGCCTGACATTTCTCCTGGCAGCCAGAAGTGCTGTTTCGTTCAGGTGGTGAATGGCAAAGACATTGCCGTGTTCCACGAGAAGGCAGGCACAAAGGGATCAACGGGCCATGAGAAGCTAAGAACAACGTGGAATGAGATCTTAGATGGTCCATAAAGACAGGGAAGTTATCTTACCAGGATTCTTCAATCTGTCTGGAGGTCCATAAGCAGGGTAGGGTAGTCTATTGGACACCTAGACAACCCAGGTAGATGTCTTCCAAAGAGAAGAGGCCACCAGGCCCAGCAGGTGAGAACCTGCTCTCTTTCACCTTCCTTGACCCCAAAGAGTTGGACTCCAGTCCTTCATATGGGGTTCTCTCTTCGGTTTGAGCTCCAGTCCTTCTCACCGACGGTGGAGGGAGTCTCTGAGGGTCGACCCGACTGAGCGCAGTCCTGAACTGACTGGTCGAGGCCTTGCCTCGGTCCCCGCGGGCTCCTTGTTCGTCCCTCTTTTTGGGACTTCTCAAATGCCCAACCAGCTAGGCTTGTTGCTGGGCTTTGATGCTGTTTGACATATGTCTTTCGAAACAGACACATGTCACACATCGATTACCAGCCCTCACGGAAGACCCAAGTGCCCAGGAATCGCCCGCCCCGAAAAGGGGGGTGTCCATGTTTGCCAACCCCCCGACTGGGGGTCCAGGTGCATTTTTTTCACATGCTTCTTTACAGTCTGCAACACGTTTCACGAGGACCCCGCCTCGATCAAGTGGGGCGAGAGTGGAGCGGAGTACGTCTGTGAGTCCACAGGTGGGGGGGGTGCGGCACCGTGCGGGGTGGCACCGCTCCATTTTGGTGTTCATTTGGGCCGAGAAGTTCTCCGTGGACAGGTTAAAGAAGAGGAGGTTCAACTGGGCGAAGATCGAGGGGCTAGAATGTAGGCAAAACAACATGGAACCTTGCGTACTAGGCCATGTTGTGGCCTGACATCGTTGAAACATGCGTATAACATGGTGCTTTTCATTCTTGACGTGTGCGTGGCGATGGGTTTTGACTGACTGTAAGAATCACCATCGGAATGGGAGCTCAACCATGCCAATGTTTTTAACGTTTGTTTCCACCCGGGGATGGTTCCATTTTGCGCACCTGGGTTCCGTATCATTGTCGAGTGTAGAGAAGCCTTTGATATCCTTTGATCAAAACATATCCATGTGGATATTTCCTCTGTAAAATCACAGGGGTCATGGTGTCCCATAGAACGTTTCATGGTCAGTCCCAAGGGTTCCTTCTCGATTTCGGCTGACGAGGCATTTTCACCACCCAGGAGAAGGTGCTTTGCCGGCATTATAGATCCGCCATGGGAGCCCCTGGCTGAGGTTTAAAGGACCTTTCTCCATCATGGTGACCGGAATGCCAAGTTACACTCCTGATTCTAAGCAAAAAAACAGGAAGAAAAAAGCTTTTTTCTCATAGTTTTTCTGGGGGCCAGGGAATATCCAGAGTTCTACATTAGGCATCTTACACCTGAAGATCCTGGAAGATCCCTGCAATCAAGGGCGATCCCGGCTGTGGATCCTGGCACTCGGCTGTGGGAAGACTTTGGTGACCATGTCAGACTCATTCAACTAACGTATTCATGTCTTGGTGGGCAAAAAAGGCAGGGCTTTCCCGGTAGATGTTTTGAAGTCCATGACTCAAAATGTCTTTGCTGATTTTCTTCATGGTTGGGTTCTCACCGGTACTTCAATCACGAGATACAAAAAACACCACGTTTCGCCCAACCTCCACGGTTTCGCACCAGTCCGTTGCTTCTCAACATCTCGTGGAAGCGATTCTGAAACCCCGACCTCCACCGCGCAGAGCTCCGCCTCCGCGAGCCACGCGAGCCACGCGTCCGTGCGTTGGAGGCCTCGCTGCACATCGGTGGCGGCGCCAAGAAGGTCATCATCTCGGCGCCTCCCAAGGCGCCGCACCAGCTGCATCGGACAGCCCGTGATGGTCCGTCCCTGGTCCGTGGGTTGCGGTCGGTGGAATGAAAGGCGGAAGAGATGGCAGCCATGGCGATGAGAACATGGCTATTGTGATGATAACGTGGAGCTCGCCCATGTCGGAGACTTCTGGATACCAATTGCGCTTGGTGCGCATGGATGTTGAATGACCATGGGATGGATGTTGAGAAAGGGAGCTTCTTCTAGGCCCGTGAAAGGTGGAGCAATAAGATCGGCGGGACCTCTTGGATTCCTACCATCAATACCGGTGCGACGAAAGTAGGGAATGAGGGAAGGAGCTCGCTTACCCCCTGTCTAGAGATTCCGGAATGGATCCAGCCACCCGACACTTCCCTACGTTCGTTGCTCAAGCCAGGTGAACATTGGACTTTTTGAGCGACGAAACCTTCGTGGTTTAAAGAACTTGAGACCATGATGCCACACAGGTCGACACGTCAGAATCCAATTTCACCACATGGCTTCTTGAGGTGGATTTGCTTTCGCTCTTTCTCTTTTTTGGTTTCTGTTGTTATTTTTTGATGTGGCAGGATTCCGTCCCAATGTACGTCATGGGCGTGAACCATGAGCAGTACAAGAGCTCCGACACAGTGGTGCGTGACCTCAGAGAATGTGTAAAACAGTAGCTCTTACGAAGTCAAAGGTGGACTTGGAGGGACGAAACTTGGGAAACCCGAAAGCGACACTTCGAGGGCTGGAGGTGAATTTGAAGTCGACTCTTGGAGTGGGAGTGGGCTTCGTGGGCCCTTTGTGAGAAGCTTGACTTGGCAAACGGCAACGCACCGGGAAGATGCCGAGCCGCCGGAACCGGCAGAAAACCCGGTGACTCAGTTCCTCGGAGTCGGGGACCGCGGTCCGTGCTTCGCGGTCCGACGCAGCGGAAGACGGCACCCCGAGGTCTCCAACGCCTCCTGCACCACGAACTGCCTGGCGCCCTTGACCAAGGCGTTTCGCCTCGTTGGTTTTTTTTCCTTCCCCGGTGGGGTGGAGTATGTGACACCGAATCTGTCGCCTGGCCGGCGACAGAACTGGGCGGGTGACGGAAGCGGAAGCACAGTGGGTGGGGTCTTTGATGCCTTCAGCTCGTGCATAGCGCACGAGTGTTCACCAGGCTCCAAGCATTTTTGGAAGTTGAGAGGTGTGGGGATTGGAATTCGATGAATCTGTGGGGTTGGTTCTATCCGCCCCCCTTCCTTCGACGCCGGCGATTCGGTCCTGGGATCTGTCGGCAGTTGGGCACGGTTTCATGGCTTTCTTTGTCATGAACAAGCACTTCATTTGAAGAAAGCCACTTTGTTGCTTTCAATTGAAGTGCTCGAGCACGGTTTCATGGCTTTCTTGAGAACATTTACCAAGCACTTCATTTGAAGAATATACTGATCTTTCATCACAAGCACGTCACCGACGTGCGGGGGTGTCTGGCTGGCCTGTCTTTTTTGTTTGCATCCGCCGGCGAGTTGGTTGAGCGAGATGCAGGTGGTTCACGAGAACTTCGGCATTATTGAGGGCTTGATGACCACTGTCCATGCCACTTGGTTTCCTGCTTGCGCCCTTTATGACTTCTCCCATGATGGTCTCATGACGACCAGCACTACCTTTTCCCAATTCAGCAAAGATAAAGGTTTGGACATCATGGCGGAGGAAGATCAAGTTTGGCAATGTTATGACAGGCCATTCTAGTTCTTCTAGCCACGAAGAATTCCACCCAACTGGCTATCATTCTGTTCTGCTGAAGCTCCAGTCACCCCAGTCCATGTCCGTCACCACGTGTTGCTCCGCGTGGGTCGGTTGGAAGGCGGTCGATGTCGGCGCGCCCTGGCGGCGTCCAGCTATGGCAGGTTCTGGCAGGACCAGTTCCAACGACCAACACTTCAACCAGCTCCAACCTGAAAAACCAGGATTCGATACGTCAGGGAGGGGGCCCCTCGTCACTCTTGGGGAGAATGGCGAGTTTCCTGCGGCGACCGGTGCATGATCCAGGCATGGGAACTTATATATTTCTTTCCAACGTCTTTTTTTTCAGGTGATGGTCTTGGGGGGAATAGGTTCCACCGGTCACTCATACTATGGTACTGGTAGCGTAGGCGTGCAAGATGTTTTTCAACCATTTGCCGCGGACTCAGAAGGTCCCATGCCGAGTGGTACCACTGCCACATAATCGTTCGCTGCTGTGCCCCTGAGTGAAGCAGAGGACCAATGTGTTCGATGCGGCATGTTCTATGAAGATGAATTTTCCTCCAAGCCAAAATGTGATGCCATCCTTGCTGCTTGTGCCGTACTGGGCCCTCATTGTATATGTATGTATATATATATATATCAACATATATGTTATATGTTATATGACCTATGCGACCAAATCACTTATTATTCCTGCTCGGTCAATCATCACTGCCAGCCAGCCAGCCAACTCGTCAGCTTTGCTTCGTCTGAGGCCATGACCGCCACGCAGCTCACCGTGGATGGTCCCTCTCGTGGTGGCAAGGACCCGCCATCGGTCGCGTTGTTGGTTCGTCTGTAGTGGATGGTCACTTTGGATCAGACTGCTAAGAGGATCCAGGGATCTAACTGCAAAGGAAATGCCTGAAAAAGTGTTGTCTTCATTCACGGAACTCATCACCGATGGGTAGCTGTGAAATCCCCAAAAAATTCAATCACCTGGTGGAAGTGGAACATGGAATTGTTTCTTTTGCTGGTTCAGAGTTCTTTCAAGCTAGTGGGGCTTGGAATGGTTCAGCCAGAGCAGACCCTAAGAAGGAGTTTCGATGTAAGTATTTGTTTGGTTGTGTCATGAGATTCCAAGGAATGGACTCGGATTTCAAAGTCCAGGATCCCCAGGTGCACCAGGGAAGATTTCAGACAGAACCCAAAGTCTTCTCGAATGAGGGTGAAAATCATCCTCCGCTGAGGGAAGGGCCCGAACGGGTATGAACTACACATTCTTTGGCAGTTTTTTTGGGTTGACAACCCTCTCCTATTTCTAATAGGGAATGTAGGGCACTGGAAAGTACAGAAACATGGCACCAATCATGCGCACCTCATCTTTACTCTGGTGAACTGTTTCCACTACACTCCCTGAAAAATCATGAAAGTGGGAAGCCACCTGTTTGTAAAGGAATATGGTCATCCAAGGGGCCATGCCATCCACTTCCATGATTTTTTCATGGAGTATATTCCAAAAGGTGGAATCAACATGGTTGTCACAATCAAAAAACAGGTTGCACTTCTTACCTTCGGCCTGTTTTGAATCGGGCCCCCGAAATCGGTCGGTCTCACCGTTGCAAGCCCTCCGATCGCGCAGGACTGGCGAGGAGGCCGATGCGCCTCGCAGAACATCATCCCCTCCTCCACTGGAGCGGCCAAGGCGGCACGCACGCGCGCGAACCGCGAACCGTGGGTGGAGTGGAGCTGGTGATGATATGAGCATGAAGTTGTGGTGAGTCCTTGGTGAAAATTTAACTAGGGCACGGGTTCGTTGACAAGGCATGGATTCTTGTCATGTCACACTGACTCTGGCCATTTTTCTGAGGTTTTGATTCATTGGGAGATTGGTGTGGTGTGTGTTTTACCACAGGGAGGCGAATAGTATGTAGCGCAACATAGCGCAACCATCCCCCTGGGTGTACGGTCTCCCTAATTTCAATGCACACCTATCAGCGCCTTTCGTATCCTTTCGTTTTGGATCATTGCACACCATCCTCCCCGAGCATCTCCAGAGCATGACATGCCAGAGAGGCCGTCTCGGGCTCGCCAAGTCGACGGTCTTCCGCCTCTGACGGTCGACGCCGCGGGATGGGTCCTGCCGCCACAGGGGGTTCCTTTCTTCGGGTGATCGAGCCGCCGCCGCGGTGATCGACGAGCCCCGAGTGAAGGACGACGGGAACGGACGACTCGATGCGGCAAGGCAGTTGGCAAGGTCATCCCCGCGATGAACGGAAAGCTGACTGGGCGCGGCCCTCGGCCTCTCGGGGTTGGGAGGGGAGTGGAGGGAGTGGAGGGAGTGGAGAATGGGTTGGGATGAAAAAAAATGGGACAATCAGAGGTGAGGGCAAAAGTCACACCTCACCATTTTGAGCCAAATCCCTTTCGGATCTTTTCTGGAGCAGCTTGGATTTGGCCCAGAAACGACGAGTAACCAACGTGGGGTGAACGAACTCCACACACTCGACAGTATGGCCTTCCGCGTGCCCACGCCGGACGTCTCGGTGGTGGATTTGACCTGCCGCTTGGAGAAGCCGGCCAAGTACGAGGACATCGTCAAGGCCATCAAGGCGCGGAGAGTGGGAGGAAGCTTTTCAGGAGGGGAGTGGGAGAAGGTGGGAAGTGTAGACGTGTGGTGGTGGGAGAAGATATAGGAAGTATACAGCGTCCTCGCACGGTAGGTGGGGCCTGGTGGGACAAGCACATTGAGGTTCCCCTGACCGTCTGACCTGGATAGCGATGAACACCAGAGACCCAAGTTCATGGTATTTGAACAGCCATTTGGGACACATGTTGTTGGGAAACACCAAGGCCAGAATGTCTGAAGGAGACACTCTCTGAATGCAGAAGACTTCTTGTAATTATCTCGAATCTAGATAGGGCATGTCCCATTACCTGAAACAGTCAGCAAAAGATTGTGACCATTTTTGAGATGTCGGTCTTTAGTAACCATCATCATCCACTGGGCTCTTGACTATCCAATGGGATATCATCTCTGAGAACGGCGCATCAGAAAAAACGCGGGTCAGAAAAACGAAAGCGTCTCAGACCGCTTCAGAAGCTTCCTTTGTTTCGATCTGTTTCACAGATCCTTTGGACCGAGACCGCAGGACGCTGCCGCCGGCCCCATGAAGGGCGTCCTGGCAGGGCGGCCCACGAAAGGATGCGTGCGGTAAACGATGGCTGCCAAGTTGCTAAGGGATTGTGGCAGTGGGTGTTGTGAAAAATGGCAGTGACCTGGCAGTGGGTATCAGTGGGTCAACACACCCTACAAACCATGGAAGATTGATATGTAGAGTATAAGTTCATATAAGTTCTATAGCTTGCATTTTGGTAGAACAAGTCATATTGATCAGATATGGATTCTCCTCCTCAGCGGTCCCAAAAGAAATCAGCTGAGTCTTCGTTTCGTCGACGAAGTCTATTGAGTCGACCGAGTCGTTTCTGGACGTTTCGGACACCGAAACCTGCGCCGCCGTCGCGCCGCCGTCGCGTGCGCTGTTTGCGTCCGCGTCGACGGGTGCTTCAGGATTGGACCGACGAGGAGGTCGTCTCCACCGATTTTGTGACCTGCAAGGCGCGGTGCTCCGAACGTTCGGTTCCGGCACCGGTGGTGAGAACAGGCGCGTGCCCGGCACCGGTGAGCGGGAGGTTGTGGGTGGAGAACCGGTAGTGGTTAGCCTGGTTAGCTCCCATGGTTCGGCGAGGCTTTTCACCGCGGCTCTGAATGGATCCATCTTAGGCGTCGTGGTCGGTGGGAGGAGGATCTTTCTTGTTCTGGACTTGGGAATGGGTTATGGGCTCGAGACCTACTGGTAGCTTAGAGTGGCCCTTATCTGCCAGCCTTTGTGCTCAGAATGGTGCCATGGAGAACATTCCAGTGACCAACCTCACAGCACCCTGAAGCCCCAGAAACCGCTTGACCGACGTTCTCCGCTTCACCGAACGGAAGCCGACGCCTTCATCGGCTTCGTCAGGCTTCCTCGATCTTCGATGAAAAGGCAGGCATCTCCTTGAATGACGCTTGGAGTTTGGAGCGGACACGCAGTCAGCTTGTTGTTTGCCGTCGGGAGGTGATTTTTCTATTTCCCACCTGTGTCCTGTGTCCATCTAACTTGGCATGACACGGCTTTGACTTGGCCATCTGCTGTTGGGACCAAACGACCTCGGAGCCATGTCGGACCCCTCCCGGCGGTTCGCGCATCTGCGGAACCTGATCATTCTTGGCATATCATAGTTCACCACTGGGCTTGCGCAACCACTCACCCACTCACCCTCTTTTTCCAGGGATGAAAGGCCACTTCATCCACTTCATCATCCACTTCATCATCCACTTCATCATCCACTTC